ATTTGTTTTCTTTTAAAATTTTTTAGATTCATTAATATCACTATAATACGAGTACCTAGAGTCAGTCAAATGCTGTCTTAACTTTTTATTTATTATAGAAACCATATTTGAACTGTTTTTTATATATTTTCGAACTATTTTCATATATTATCACATCAAAACCATCAAAATGTTTTAAAAATAATATACATTTTTATAATTAACTAATCTTTTTAAGCTACTTTTTATTTTATTTTTTTTTGTGCAAGAAACGAATACCACTTATTTCAGAATTACGAATGATAGTACGTCTTCAACTTATAGAGCTATATTTAGTGCCCGGAAATTCCACGGAAGGTCGTTATCAGCGATGAGTATACTTGTACGTCGTTTAGTAATAATCAAGGACATTTGTAAAAATATCGTTTTAATTACTTGTATTAACTATTAGTATATTATGCAAAACACCCGATAGATCAGTTGTGCAATGGACGTATAAATAATTACTCGAAGGAAGAAAATTGGATTGTATGGTTAATGAAACAATCATGTTGATACAGTAATAATTAAGTGATGTTTAAGTCGGTTGTCGAGTGAATTCACGTTATGCTGGATTCGGGACGTGCGTAACGCCAGCACCGCCCATTAGGAAAATTTGATTTTTTATACTATCAATAATTAGCACATTATTAGCATGAATTTGCATGACCAATTTCGCAATTTGCATGTCATCCATTTCTCCGGAATCGCAAAAATTAATAGGTGGTGCTGGAGAAACATTTCGCCAGCACCACCCAATCGCATAAATGGAATTTTTTATATTTTTTTATAGCCATTTTTTAGCATGCAATTAGCATAAGTTTGCACGACTATCACCGAAATTCGCTCGATCGTTATTTCCGTGCAATATCGTATCAAAGAATTTGTGCGTTTCGCCAGCACCACCCAAAATCGAAATTTTATATATTATGTTAAATTTGAATGCAATGATAAGTATCATTGTATACGAAAAACGACTCTGAACGAAGATGATTTATCAGTCTAGAGTATATTATATTTAAATATTGCTAAATATTTAATTTTATTTCATAGTAATTTATTTTTCAATTAGGATGGGTTGGGTGTTGAATACGGCATGGTTAATCAAATGTTTCCAATAATATTGCATGTGGTTATTATATTTCCTTATATTATCACAAGTGTACTAGTATTATAGAGTAACTATAGAGGAAAAGTATATTTCTATATAATTACAACAAAAATCAAAATTCCATTGATAGTAAATCCTTATTTTACGCGTGAATTTTTGATTTCGTGAAAGATTAAACACTCGTAAAATTTTTTAAAAAAAATATATTCCTCAATCGTTTTTATAATTACTCTAAGCTTAACTTATGGAAAATTTTGTATTAAATTTTCAATTCTTAGATTTTAATAAAAAAAAATTTAAAAATGTTTAACTACAGAATTGCATATTTTCGCGATTTTGACATATTTCGTAAAAATTTGAACTTTAAGCGTTTATAAAAATAAAATTGTGACTTACACTTTTTGTTTTTTTTTTATATCTGATAAAGAAAACTTATAAGGCACTTTGTATTAAATTTTCAAGATTTTTTGGCGGCCAAATTTTTTTAATCCATATTTAAAAATAAAATACTTAAAAAAAAATCGATAATTTAAATTGTCAATAATAAATTGTCTCAAAAAAAATCAAAATACTTTGAAAGTTTAACTGCCTATAGACAACGCTAATATAAATATTTGGTGAACATTTCAAATATTTAAACTTATTATTTTTTGAGTTAGAGTAAAATAAAATAATCATTTTTATCGAAAACTGGGTTTGCATAAAAATTTCCTTTTTTCCGTTACTTTTTTAGGATTTTTCCTGAAGTTTTTGAAAATGATGGGAGATTTTCTTATTTCGACCACTATAATACATAAAATTTTCTATTTAAGAAAATATAAAGCTATTCTGTATTTTTTAATAATAATATACTCAATACAATTTACAAAAAAGTGTTCATTCGTTATAAACAGTTGTTATTATTACTTAATAATAAATCATTTTGTAAAACTTTATAACCAAAATAACTTGATTATTAGGTACTTGAAATTAATTTTACATAAATCCTTGGATCATTATTAACTAATTTTTAAAGTTTTTCATTTTTCTCAACTATGATCATTATATGGATTATTTCAAATCATCAGAACCAATAATATAATTAGCAATATATTCTTATTGAATATTTTAAATAATATAATGAATAATCATACATCTACAACATATTTTTTAGATGTATTCAGAAATAGATAAAAAAATGTGAAATGATAACAATTTTTAATATAAAAATAATTTTATATTCAAATAAGTATTATTATATTGGAGTATTTATTAACTTTAAATATTCTATTGATACGAGTATTATAGTATTAATATAGAATTGTATTTTTGTTAAAACATGAGTCACTCATTTGTTTATCAGAAACCCTTTATTTTTTAATACTTCTGACTGAGGTGTCATAGTAATTAAATTGATCATTAGAAATGTAGGATACCAATTTATTTTTTAATATATTAAATTATAAATAATAATATTTGAAACGGTTTATTGACATTCTAAAAGTCAACTCGTAAAGCTTTATTGTTATAGAATATTTTACATATAAGATTGTATAATAAATAATATTCAATAATCTTTATTTTTTATCGTTATTTTTTCAGTGCAACATTTCATATTTTTGAGTAACACTTTTAGGAGGAAGTGTTCATAGATCAAACGAAGAAAAAAAAATATTGTAAAACCAAAATGATAGTACCTAGTAGGGCCTGAGAGAAAAAAACCAACAAAGCGTTGACAGTGTCTTTACACAATTTTTAAATTGGATTAGTTTAAACTAATAGTATAATCACTAAAATATTATAGTAAAAATCTTAAAATATTGAAGAACAAAAAAGCTCATAAGAAAGAAATTCGTAAAATTTTAATTTGGGGCGGTACTGGCGAAACGCGCAAATTCTTTGATACGATATTGCACGGAAACAACGATCCAGCGAATTTCGGTGATAGTCATGCAAATGCATGCTAATTGCGTGCTAAACGATGGCGTAGTTGAATTTTAGGAATTCGTAAAATTTCGATTTTGGACGGTGCTGGTAAAACGAGCAAATTCTTTGACACGTTATTACACGGAAACAACGATCGAGGGAATTTCGGCGATAGTCGTGCAAATTCATGCTAATTGCTTGCTAAATAATGGCTATGAAAAAATATGAAAAATTCCATTTTTGCGATTGGGTGCTACTGGCGAAATGTTTCTCCTGCGCCACCCATTAATTTTTGCGATTCCGGAGAAATGGATGACATGCAAATTGCGAAATTGGTCATGGAAATTCATGCCAATAACGTGCTAATTATTGATATTATAAAAAATCAAATTTTCCTAATGGGCGGTGCTGGCGTAACACACGTGGATTCGGGTTGTAGGTAACGGCAAACTAAATAAAATTGATAATCAAATATGTGATAGTTTTTATTGAGTAAGTTATGTGTCTTTATATCCACATGTATTTGAGAGTTTTGTTATTACAGTATACTATCGATTGTCTACGAAATATGGTGGTGTGGCATCCACGGATATTCCGATATATTAAAATTGAAAAGAAAATTAAATAATTATAAATATGAGTATTAAAAGTGTATTATTATATTAAAAAAAAAAAAAAATTAATGTTATATAATATTTAAGAAAAATGAAATAAGAACACTTTATATTTTTGCTTAAAAATCCATTTAATATGACCAAGGCCGTACCTAGAAATTTTTTTCGACAGGGGTTCAAAACATGTATATTGTAATTTTATTGAATTCATATTTTAACTTTTGATAATTTGTTAAAAATAAGACAGAAAAAGATTTAATCTTCTTTTATTAAAATTAATATTATATTTTCATATGATATTATGATATAAAACTAAGAGCAGACAATGATTAATTGGAGCTTAAGTCATTTTTGACTGAAAATACTTATGTTGGTATTAAAAATAAATAATTATTTTAAACATTCGTAAAATATTGAAGAAATTGCGGGGGGGGAGGAGTCTAGACACCCTGCCCTCCAGATACGGCCTTGAATATGACGTATCGTATGTAAACCGTTTATATTTCGAGAAAAACATTACTAACAACTAACCTCATCATAACGATACATGTAATTGTGTAAAGAAAAATAATTTTTTTCATTATACATATGTACATGGTTCGTTTTGTAGAAGACCGCGGATAATGGAAAGTACACTGTATTTAATTTTACGTAAGCTCGTGGCCGATGATCCACGGGTTGGTGATAACACGACAAAATAATGCACGTCGGTGCCGGTGATCTGAACCATTTAAATCATCGTGTGTAAAAATCAAAAAAAACTAGTCAGTTTCGATCAGAACAGACGACCGGATCCAAAGACGACCGGAAAACGCGGTAAGGACACGGAACAACTCCATTTAAGCAGAAAATATCCACGGAACCGTGCGATTCTCCGTGTCTCGCGTTCTTTGAGAATTTCCAAAGATTATCCGTAACGCGTGTCAATGAAGAGATACTATCGTGCAATCGAGAGACCGCGATGACCGGCAGAAACTCGATTCGAACGCTGACCAAGTATTGCTGCGGAGTTTATTCGATTTCGTGCGGCAGTTTCTGTAGGGATGTTCGCGGAGATTCCGTCCACTGTTTTCAACGTCTCTTTGAACGGGATCGAGCTCGGTCTCGGACTTGGATTGCACGCGCGCGAGTCCGAACGATCACTGGACACATCCGTTTGTGGTCTGGATTTTTTTTTTTACGCGCGGGAACAAGATACGCGTCGCGTGAAGTAGATCCGTTGGATCGCGTACATCGGCGACTGTCTAAGAAATGCTCACGATCCAGACGTGAAACAGTGTACAAGGATGTTTAAGGACATTTAAATGGTACTCGATTTGACCGGATGACGCGATATTGCGCCTAGTGCTTACCGTGCGCGCCATCGTCGTCGTCGTCGTCATCGCCCTCATCTTGTCGTTCGGTCGCGACCGTCAGCAACAGGGCGCAGAACAGCAGCGCGACGCTCAAAAACGTCCACGACGATCTTCTCATGTCCGATCGGGTTCGATGTCGACCATTTACGATGGAAGTGCAGAAAAATAGTCGTTTTTCGATAACGCGTTCCAAAACGTTCCACGTCGGGGAATACTTGTGTTTGTTTTCCAACGAGCGATCAAACCTATTCAATATTTATCAACTACGCGTACATTTATCGCGTCGTCTTGCCACGTCGGTACACGCACTAACGGAGCACCGTGGACGAGTGCAATTATAATATCGATGTCCGTCCGTCCGTACGCGCGTTGCTGCGGTGTACAAAAACTCGTGTTGTGTCTACGCGTCAGCGTTTTAATAGAATTCTACTCCGTCAGCTATATTTTTTTTTCGTATAGCAGGTAGTTCATTTTTTTTCCTTTAAAACGTACGTATTCATTTTCCTTTCAAACGCACTCGCGCACGCACACGAATATCGGTGGAACGTAAAATCCGAACGTATTTGCAATTTTTACTGTACATATATTAGTGAGCGTTGCGTTTTTCCGAATACGATACAACCGTGTCCCACTTGTTCTTGTTCCACGATGTACTTTAACAACCTGTAGTGTTGGATATATGCCAGCCAACTTTACGGCGGCCAACACTTCATACTTCAATTTGCCACTAACGTGCCTACACTTAAAACGTTTAAAATTATTCGTATTTCCATTAGCGGTTGTTCGTCATTCTCGCGGAAAGCGCGACTAGTAACATCACTTCCCAATAATAACTTTGTACGACTTATAAATATTTAATTTTCGCAGCACTAGGTGTGCAGATTAACGGACGGTAATTATTTGCTCTGAAAAGGAAAAGACTAAAAATTTGTCGATCTTTTTTTTTTTTTATTATTACATATTTTCGAATTATTTTCTCTTTCTTGTTTCACCATCCGCAGATGAAGAGAAACGTGCACGTTGATTATAGACACCGGTCGTGTCGCGAGGAAAAACAGTTATTAAACAAATCATCGCAGCAGTAGAGTCACGTATATTATTATTTTGTTGCTCCTCGTCGACGGACGGGGAACGATCTCGCTGTGTAATCCGTACTGTACCCAACAGTTAAATGTGACAACAAAAAATAATAAAATAGAATATTTAAATGTAGTGCGAATTAGTCCGGACGCTGAATGTGCTCAGGGGTTCGTGCCCTCCTTTATTCGTTGGAACACTTTCGATCAATGCGTTGACGTGTAGAAATAAATAAAAATAAAATTTTAATGCTGCCCCCGTGACTTTTTTTGCGATATTAGAACATGATGTGAACGGATCCATTGCAAATATTACTACGTCGTCGTAAGCACTTCCACGTGGGAAAATATTTCTTTACGTTTATATGGTCGTCATTTTTATTGAAAATTTTCAATAAAAATGACGAATTCTTTAAGGAATAAATACGACATGGTTACGACGAGTGGTTGTTCCTCTGTAGGCGTGTGTTGAATTACTTATTTCGCTCTACTCAATTAATGTCAATATTGCTTGACGGTCGATTGAATATCGATTTATTTTATGATCAACAGGCCATCGATTCAATCGATTGAGATCATAAACAGTCGATTAATCGATTTTTACAGAACGTTGTTTCCAGAAGACTCGTGATCGTCGTAAATTTTATGTTCACTAAACTCTTAACGCTAACCGATTCGTATATCGGATAACGAAGTAAAATACTACACATGTGATTATATTATGCATACGATGCGATGTTTTCTCGACCAGACAAAATATAAATAAATTGCATTTGCAATGTTGACATCGTAACTGCTGTGAACCGTAAAAACAGACGATTTAAATAACGATATTGATCATGTACATACACACACACACACACATACACATACACAGGTTTCATTATGTTCATATGTTTTTAGGGATATATCATTACCGGTGTAGCATTTCGATTTAGACCCGTTACCTTTTGAAATGATATAACGATTGTAATGATAATGTACCTATGAATTTAATAAATACTATTTATTCTAAACTTTCACTACTATTCCTTTATTATTATTCTTTTTATAATATAAAAATAATATAATACAAATGTGTTATTATTATATTGCGATATACAGTTATTTACTAATGTATTGTTATTTTAAATAAGGGCATCACTCGTAAATCTGATAAATAAATAAAATAATAAATATTGTTTCATAATAAATATTACTCAAAAATATTTCGAGGAAACGATACTTGATTATTTATAATTCTATATTTAATACAGTAAATGAATATTATTTGTAGAACGTTTATAACAATTTTTATCTGCTGTCAAACTTATATTTATACTTTGATTAATAAATGTCTGAATACGAAATATCCATAGCTGATAATACAAATTGTACTGTATCAAAGTAGTGCAGTCGCGTATCGTACCCGCTTTAAGCGCAGCCCTGTCGTAGTTTTAGTATTTTGCTATTTGGTCCGTTGGATTTTGTGGTCTCTAATAGTTCTATTTAGTGGCGTATTTGCGGGGTTGATATGGGGGTCATATGCCTCTTCGGGAGGTTTTTTAAACTACACTATAAGTAAATAATGTGTAAATATATTATCCAATATTAAAGAAAAAAAGTTAAAATTAAGATAGTTTTTAAAATAAAATAAACATTTACCCACACAATCAGATTTTATCTGTGTAAATTATGAACAGCATGTTAACTTTCGGCGATTTTATCGTATTGTTTCTAAATTGTAATTATATTTATCGACCATTGCCTGCAAATGATTATTTCTTATCGCCCAAATCTTCGGCATCTGTCCGTTTTCGTTGCCGTTAAAGGAACGAACTGTGTGAAATCGACCTAACAAACTATGTAAAATTTTAAAGATAATTAATACATAGGGTAGTTGCAAGTTAGTACCACATGTCTTTGATGCTAGCCATAAGCCAACGCATTTGGTTTCGACGGTTACTCAAACTAGGTAAAAGAGTTTTTTTTTTTTAAAACGTGTTTTAAGTTTTTTATCTTAAACGACGAAGAAAAACTATCAGTAAGATATCATAAAAATAATAATTTATTTAAAACATACAAACATTGCAATACATTTTAAAATGCTTGATTTAACTTTAAACTGCAAATAATATATTAAAGTATAAACATTGCATAATTTAATGTATTTACAGGTCCTTAAGAATATTTCGGTAACTCCCAAAATATATCCCAAAAGAGGTCTTAGATTTTAATCAAAGAAAATAGATGCATTTTCTTGGCTTGCTTATTCTGAAATTGAAAAAGTGCTCTTTGTAAATTTTATACTATATTTTCAAAAACTGGTGAATATTTAAATCAACCACTTGAGCAGCTTGTTTTAATATAATATAGATATTGGAAAAAAAACTAAAAAGATGGTTGAGGAATCTTTACATCACATTACAACAGTACTTAGTAAATTGTATCGTGTAATGTTTTAAAATTGTACTTCCATATATTTTAGATGTTTCAAGTTAATGCTGTGCTGTTAAGTAAATGAAAATAGAGAATGTTTAGTACCAATTATTGAGTGTGTTGTAATAAGTGATAGACAAAAATCATCATTGAGAAGTTACCTTGAAGAAATAGAAAACATTTTAACCGATAATGATGGTTTGTATTAATCGCTGTATCCCAAATTGTTATATTAATATTAAAAGAAACTTATTTTATTTTAACTATATATTTATTTAGATTTAGATAATACACAAAATATTGAAAACGTCCATGTATTATTGTAATATAAAGCTGAAGGAGATGCATTTTTGTAAAATATATTGAGTGGAACAGACATACATGTGAAATACCTTAGTACAGATATTCGAAATTAATTAATAAATATTTGCAATGAAATAATTTTTAAAAGAAAATAATGTTGATTATGTACATTTTACATATGTATTATTATTTGTATATCCCCCCGCCCCCCCAAGGAAAAATCCTAGATATGTCACTGCCAATGTTTACTTATAGAACCCGATTATAAATACTTATTATCATTATTTAAATTTACATGCTCCTGTAAAATGTATGTACAATTTAAAGATAACAATAACGATTTGGGTGCTTTTGAATTTAGAATTATGCCGTGTTGATCGAAGTCCCGTATGTAGTAGTAAACTGTCGCCGCTGATTTTATAACGATTTTTCCCGCGTCGGATGTAATAGTACGCGCCGCGATCCTTTTGACAGTGCATTAGGATGAGTAGAAGGATCGACGTACTACAGGAACGTACTATGGTCTGCAGGACCGGCGAGAATGACGTGTGAGTCATTAACTTACGGAATCGCGGAACATAAATCGTATTACTAACGCATGCGTACGCAGCTCAACCGTAAGAAAATAATAATAATATAACGAAAATGTAAAATACAACAATACGTATAACGGTTTCGGAAAGACGTCGTAATCAAGACTGTGATGGCCGTGAAAATAATTATTGAATTGAGCTAATTTCACGTAAACAAATATTTAAATCTATAATAATAAACTACATTCACCTTTTGCGGGCCATGGGCCATAAAAAATAATTACGCCGTTTTTATTTTTTACGTACGACAATCGAACATGTTTTCCTTTAAACATTGCTCTATTTCGACCAAGCAGCGATTATCGGCCGGCAAATGTGAAGTTTATTACAACGATCGTTCGAACTGTAATAGATCAGATGCTGTAATCGTCTGTACTATCGGCAAATCAACTAGTTAAAGTCAAGTTTTAATGTCATTACGAAAATTGACTACTTAACCGTATGGTTAACGCCATACTTCTGGTAATAGTGTAATACACCGCGCAATTTACGAGACTTTGAACCGAGCTCAAAGATGTGCGTCGGGAGAAACGAACACTCAAGTTTCTGTTTGTCGTACTCGGATTTTTGGTTTTCTCCGATCGAGCTGCGTTGTGCGGTAATTTTTATTATATTATATATTTTTTTCGTCCATCGAAAAATTATTCGACGCACGCGTTTACTATAGTACAGTAGATACTACAGTGACGGTGGCAATTTCCAGTTGTGCGTCCGTTTCCGAAATTAATTCGAACCAATTTTCAGAAACATCGCGTTTTTCCATTGTTGTTTGATGATTCGTATTGGCGTTATATGTACACAAGCATAATGTGAACACGAGCGAACACCGAATTTCCAGTGCAGACGAGTCGGCTTTGAATCGTTAGCGCCGTAACAGTATTTCCATCGTGATTAATAATCCGCGTCGTGTTCGCCCAAATCATATTATTATACGCCGCGG